ATATCAGATTAGAATGAAGATCATATTTCATCAGTTATAGAAACTGAGAAAAACAATGCTTATCTTAAAACTCATTTTCTGGTACAATCTGACAAAGCTCCTATTTAATTTGCATGCATTGTTTTTTTTTTCTTTTTTGTCTTCTGTTCAGATGTTCAAAGGCCAAATAGAAAGTGGATAAGATAAAACAAACCAAGAAAGGTTTGTAATCTTGGTTGCTATTCTAAGTGGGGCAATACTGGATAACCTTGCTAGCATTACTAAATGAAGTAAAGAAGAGGTTAATTTCAAAAGATAATGTTAAAAAAACAAAGTGATATTAGATAAGAGAAAAGATAATCAACAAACAGGAGATGATCCCCTCCTCATGTGCATGTCCTTGAAATTAGAGATAGTTATTTTCTGAGGTTTCTATCAGTAAGTAAATTCTTCCTTATTTGGGTAGTGGAGCTGGGCAGATACCACCAAGTGAAATCTAATCTAAAAATTTGCAACTTTGTCCAAAGTCTGAACACTTGACACTGAAATAAACACAAAATTTAGAAAGAAAAACAAAAAAGTATTAAAAAAAAAAAAATATCAAAGGTGAGCAAGGTGTGTCATGCATGGATGTTGTCAGCAAAAGCCACACTTTTTCCAATAACCACATTCACTTTACTTTAAAAAATATTTTTTTCAACTGAGGACAGGCAGTTAACTGCTGTCAAAGAAAGAGTGGAATCCAATTTTTTTTAATGTAATTGTTGTCAAGTAATGACCAACGTAAATAAGAGAATGAAAAGATCAAACGTTACCTGAGCTGCTGACCTTCACTGACCGTACGAGATCGGTTGAAAGGGTATTGGTCAGAGTTGAACATTGATATACTCTCTGAGGAATGTTCATTATTTGTCCACTGTGGAGGAACAATCGACTTCCCCGAGCTACTACAGCTACGACTGCGGAAACTGCCAGATTCTGCATTATTTGCTGGATTTTTCATTTCCCTGGAAAATAAAACAACACAAGAAATTAAAGATTTTTTTTTGTTTTAGAATGGGCAGATTAAGATTCAAAATATTTGTGTGTCTCCATTTTCAGAAAATATGAAAAAAACCATCAACAACTTTTTCAACCAAGAACTTTTAATATTATATCAACTTTTAAAATTGGGTCCTCAGCCAGTCTGCTGGTTTCATTTTGTCAGAGGTCCTTTTCGCTGTCAATCAACAGTTCATCTTGGGTTAACCTTTCTTTCTGTCTTGCTGATAATCCTTGGTTTCATTTACAGGTCTTGTAAAGAACTTTAAGACATGTCCCAACCAGCAGATGTATCTTCCTGCAAATGGTGGCTGAAGGTGGTGGCAGAGGTTAGATGTTCAAAATGTCAAAGCATCTCATTTTTTCTCTCTCTCTCTTTTTTCTTTTTTCCCCCCCCCTAAGCATTTCACCCCAAGCAAGGCAGGAAGCCACTCGCACGCAAGAGGTTCCAGAGAGTTAGAGGAAAGGATGAAGAGAAGGATAGGGGATAGATGAAGGCATCTGGAGATGTCAATTAACATTACATTTCAATAGTTTGAGATTATAGCTATCAGGGAAACAAGAAAAGGGGAGGGAGTTCCACAGGCGAGAAGTGCAAGACATAAAGCTATTGGAGTAGAAGAGAAGGCTATATTTAACAGTTTTGACAGTGAAAGGGTGAGAGCGAGATGCCAGCCTAGTTGAGTTACCATGAAAGTATTTGTAAAAAAGAAAAGACAGAGGGAGGTGACAGCAAGTCTGTGAGAGAGCGACTGCAGACGACATGCCAGATCATTACATTGCATATCCGTCTCTGGATTTTGTCAAGGGCCTTGAGACAAACAGAAGGGGCTCCAGACAATATACGGCAGCAATACTCTATGCAAGGGCGAATGGTTGATTTGTAGATTTGAAGGATTGACTCCCAGCGAGAAAAATTTCCTTGCAGTGGACAAAGCTATTGACTCAATGTATTTGTTCCATCTTAGGTCAGCAGACAATGCAAGACCGAGCAGTCACAAAGAGATGCTCTCGTGGAGTTGAGCATCAGACATTCTAATAGGAGGCAGCGATGGTTCTCTGTGGTGAGTAATAGAGAGCAATTTTGTTTTCTGAGGCGTTAAAGTTAACCTGCCCCAGTCTACAACCAATTGGAGGTCCTTTTCAAGACAAATGGCCAGGTTAGTTTTGTCAACGACACTAGATTTGTTTTTGAGTCAGGAGTAAATAGTAGTGTCGTCCACGTAAATGCCTACTTGGGAATCTATGACGTCAGGAAGATCATTAATGAAGATAGGAACAGAGCAGGGCCTAGGATAGAGCCTCGGGGAACATCTGCGTTCGTGGGATAGCAGCTAGACGAGAATCTGTTGAGAACGACCTTCAATACACAGTTTGACAGGAATGATTGTATTAAATCAAACAATCAACTTGAAATTCCATAACCCTGAAACTTGTGAAGAAGGCCGGCATGCCAAACCCTATCAAATGCTTTGGAGATACCTATAGCCACAGCATGAGCTTCTCCATTATTATGAATGCTTGGTAAACAATTTCAGTTATGGCCGTAAGCACATCAACTCTAAGATATTTTAAGTTGCAATGTTTAAGACAATAAATATATTAAAGGTGTTTATTTTGTCTTTGGTTAATGTTGCACTTCTACTCTTTCTACAGTACATTTGTGAGAACTAACAGCATTTCAAGTTTTCATCCCTTTCACTTATAAAGTATGAATTTAGACATTGATCTAAAATCTCCCCTTTAAGATCCTTGTGAGGAATAACTTAGCAGTGTTAGAGATTCCTTACAGGGAAATAGATGTAAATCAATCATATAGTTCAAGTTTATTAAATACTTATGGCTGGCTGGCAAGATATCTTCATAGAAACCAGAAAACTAACATGATTTTAAATTTGACCACTTCTGTCATTTTCTTTTTATTATTATTATTATTATTATTATTTATAAATGTTGAAACTTGACTAATGCATGGAATAATAAAGCAACACAAAAGGTATTTAGAACAAAATGTATTGAAACAAGAAAGTGTACACAATATTTACATATAGTCTTTTGTATATTTCTGGTAAGACCGTTCCTGGAGAATGTTGACTGAGTTGCAGTCGGGCAGAGTCTCTGGTTGAATCTCTAGATTCCTCCCTCTCTTCCCGGTACCAACCATATTTATATGGTCGGTACTCCACTATGCAAATTAGGTGGATCCTACCACAACAATAAATTTTTACACATTCAGCACCCATTTGTTTTTAGTTTTCTATTGTCAACCAATAGTGGGGCTAGCAACTCCATCCCATAAAAATGCACTTCTTACAAAAAACCACAGCAACAACGCCTAACATTGTGAGACTGTGATCTTATTATTCACAGGGAAGTCTACAGGATTAACATACAAACATATATCTTCTATTTTGAGCAGACAAAACTATTGTTTGGGGGAGGGGAAGCAATTCCTTATTTATGCCATTTTTTTATTCGTTACCTACTAGTTTCCTATTTTTTTTTAATGTAGCAAATCAAAGATCATTATGACGAAGAACTGATAAAAAGTTGTTTACAAGCAGATAACGTCAATGTCATGAGAATGATAAAAAAAAAAAAAAATAAATAAAGATGTGCAAAATCTTTTCCATTTTAGACATTTTTCTAAATTATTACTTACCCAAGAATACAGTCATGCATGTTACGGGCGGTGGCTTGGTCTTCCACCTGCATCCATAGCTCTCCATGTCCTGTCGGGGCCAAGCGTCCAACTTCCATGAAAAATAAACAATCACGATGACCACAACGGCGAATATAACCAATCTAAAGAAAAGTAAAAAAAAAAAAAAAAAAAATTGACATAAAGTTTAGTATCATCTGGTCAAGCAGAAAATGGGGAAATGAATTAATCACAAGAAGCAACCTTACCAATAAAAAGTCTTGTAAAAACTACAAATTAATTGGGTGATGATGATAATAATAATAGAAAAAAAATAATTCCTCTTAAGAAACTGAACATTTATTCTTACAAATCCATAAACTCAACACATTTTCAGCCAAATATTAAACTTGGGTCAAAACCACAAAAAAGGGTTCAGCTTGCTGTTCAAAATTGAGTTTTAGATTTTGTACTAACAGTTACTGCAGGCACTGGCACAAGTGGAAACAAAAGGGTTTACAGACCTTTGACAGCTAAAGTTTTTTTCTATAAATTAAGCAGAAATGGGCCAAGAAATAGGCAGAAATCAATATAAAACTTGTCACACTAAGCAGTCAATTATTTTTCAAATAAAAGTTTATTTTTATTTTAATCAGACCCAAATCAAATCCAGTAACTTTAGTCACTGTTTAAGTTGAAAAGAATTTACATAAATCCACATCTCTAAATTTGCAAATTCATAATAAACAATGGAAAAACAGCTACCTATTTTATGCTTAAACTAGTTGAGCTAAGAAATAAAATTTTCTGATGATAATTTGGCAGGGATGTGGTAGCCTTCCTGAAACCACTTTAGAACTAAATGTCTGTATCTAAATATTAAACACAGTATGACCATAATATAAGACTCAATGTGTCAAAAATAATTATATTTAGTTTTAAATGTCCATTTCAGGATCTATACTCAGTGATAACTTTCATATCATACTAGAGATTTAAAATGTGTGTGTGTGGGGGGGTGTACATACACATTAAGGTCTATAACATGGAAAAAAATGGGAACAAGGTTGTGTCAAATTGAATTTCAATAAAATTAAGTTTTCAGATTCACCAATTTTTTACTTAGCACTTCACCTATGTACAGTATGCCCCACCCAAAACACAGACATTTAATAATGCTATTGTTGTTGATTATTGCATTAATTTTAAAATTATTTTCCTCTGATTTTATAGATGAGCACATTATTGTTTTTCCATTGTTCTTTCTGTACAATGTTTATATTAAATTAGTAAAAGCAGAAGTCAAAAAAATATATATAAAATTGGTAATAAAATAGATTTTGGTTAATTGATACACAATTGGAGATCAATTAGGTGGCTGTCTCAGCAGTGAAAAGCAACAAGTGATAGTAAACAATTTTACAGTTAAGCTAAAATCAAAAAACAATTTTTTTAAAAGCCTTTCTATATGGACTAGTATATTCATTTTGGTTTTTACACTCTGAACATTTTAACTATTAAACACTCTGGCCATGAATGGGTCAGTTTCTGTCCTAGATAAAGAACTCTGATAAATCAATTGAATTTATTAACAAATATTTTTAAACTGTTTATTATTAATGCAATATTACTTAATATTGAGCACGTTACTTACAATGTCTGCTTACCTTAAAAATTGTTATCCTCCAATAATACACTAGTCAACAGTTTCTTCTGGACACACACACACACACACACACACACACAATAAATAAATAAATAAATAGTGACTCTTCAATTCTGAGTTTAAATCATTGTGTGGTGGGGGGTCATACTGTACATAGGTAAAGTGCTAAGTAAAAAATTGAATCTAAAAACTGTTCATTTTATTGAAATCCAATTTTACACAATTCTGTTCACACGTTTTTTCCCCCATGTTATAGACTTTAACATGTTCATGTATGGTATATTTTCAAAATGGAATAAATTGATGCTACTATAACATGAAAACATTAACGCATATTAAAGCTTAAATGTTAATTTATACTTTTTATCCTGATAGGAAGATGAGTTTTACTTTAGTATTTAAACAAATGTTGCAAAAAGAAAATGTTGCTGGCAATGATTCTGACAATAAATTGTGAAAAATATGTAACCTACTCCAAAAATGATGGTAAAAGTAATTAGATGAAATATAATGAAAGACTAGAGTAAATTGTACATGATCTGGAGATAAAAAAAAAAAAGTTACATCCCATCTTCCTTCATTTCTGCTAAAAATAATTAAAGGCCATTGGCATGGCAAGTTTTAATGTCAACTTTATAAATTATTTTGTGGAGTGATGAGCACAATTGACCTCTTATCCAATTGATGAATTGATTTGTTTTTGACAGTTTATCAGCACATTGTGGGTTTATTAAAAGTCAAAACATTTCAGATTGTAGGATGTTGCTTACAAAACCTGATGTTCCCCCAATTATAGTATTGACCGAGCTCAATGATACTTAACATTGGTGGACAAATGTGAATCGGTGTTGTCTGCATGATTTGACTGTAGGCTTTTGGTTGGGAACATATGTATTTTATGATGACCATACATGGTCCTTAATTCCTTAAAGACAAGTATTAAGCACAACAAAAATGTCCTTACTAACGTTGCTGAAATATATTGTCTTGTATATGTGTACACATGCACATAAGAACCTGTCAGTGCCATAGTTAGTTTAGGTTTAACAGTCTGATATAGGCACACAGTGAGGATCCAATTCATTACAGTAATAATGATTTGTTAAGTTAGCATGGTAAGCATTATATCATGATGGTGCACCAAAGTGTTTACTCCTCACTGTCTGCCTTCCATCAAAGTTTGTAGGTATTAATTAATTTTTTTTTTTATTTTTTTTACAAAACCACAACAGATACAAATTCAAAAAAATAAATAAGAACAGATTAAGCCAAATTTCCCACTGTTCAAAAACAGAAAAATTTACTTACCTGGAATGTGACCTCAGGAATTTCTGAATTAAGCCGTACTAAACTGACCTCTCTATTGGTCAGGCAGAGACGGAATTGACCAGTCATATTCTTTGTCCCTCCAAGACCTTTGGGCTTCATGGTCACTTGCCATACATATTCTGCAAAAAGTAAAAATTGGACAAACAAAATAGACAATAGAATATATTGAGAGTGTGTGGAACTTTTTCCTATCTTAAATATATCCAACTGAAAAAGTGTAAATGGTTACCCTATTTGACAGCATATAAGGTGCACTTTTTTTAATAAAAATATCTTAAAATCCCCGTGTCTTATATGCCATGTGTAGGTTTAAAATTTGCGATGGTCGGACAAAATTAGCTTTCTGGCAATTTCTATTAACTTATACTTTAGAGTAACTTTCATATACCTTGTCATTATTTAAAAGGCTATTATGCAGATTAAAAGTGTTATCATTGATAATATTCATTATATTATTTTCATCAAGTTTAATATTAGTACTTTGTTTCACTAAAATTATAAGTAATAAATTCAAATTATATATTTGTAAAACATATCTGTTTCATTAATATATTTTTTTCTTGCAATAACTTCTGGTTGCATTGGTATAAATACAATCAGAATTTTTATATCCTAATTATTCCACAAAAAAAAAAAAAAAGCATGGGTTAATATTAAACCAGAAATTGTTGTGAAATCTTAAAAAAAAGTGGCATTAGCAATGCTCTCAATGGAATGGAAGATGATGCATTATTTAACGACGATGATAGTAGTATTGAAAATGAGTATCAGAATTTTACGGATTTAAAGATGAATAAAATTTTAATGGTAACTACTGTTTTGCTCAATTGTAATAATTGCTTGATTTTTATTTTGTATTCTTATCTTTGGATATAATAAAGTTTTTATAGGCTCATGTTCTTTTTTTCCTATTATTTTTCGTTTAATTGTAATCACGGCTTGTTTAACCAAAATAATACTTCATAAATATAGCCTAATTTTACTAATTACTAATTTTTTTTCTTGATTTGTCCTGCTGAAATTGGGGTGTGTCTTATACACTTTCAAATATGGTAATTAAAATCCAAGACAGATTCTACAAAACTATGACAGAGAAATCAATGTGAGAAAAAAAAACAAAAAAAAAAACAAGAACTTCATTGAAAAAGTCATTCTAAAAAAATAAATTTCAAATTTGTTTTTATTAAAAAAAAAATAATAATCTCAAGATTATTTTTAAAAGAGATTTGGTCATAAAACCTTTGATGGATTCAATTTCATTATAACAATATTTGTTAATTCAAATTTAAAAAGCAAACTAACTTAATATTTCTAAATACACCTTGAAATAAAGATACCAATATATTTCTTATTAATAACTAGTGGTAGAGCCTGGCGTTGCCCGGGGATGTAACAGTAAGAGATAGATCAAGTATCGACCATCATAAAGACTAAAAAATAAAATTGACAAAGATTATTGTTTAAGGTTGACGGACACGCATGTCTTAGTTTTTTTTTTTACGAATTGGTCCAACTCAAACAAAAACATTGTTTTCAATCGTTATGAGTCTACCGATAGAATTTTATTATAAACAATCGTCTTATAAATGGAATTTTTAAAGCATTCTGAATGTAAAAATAAAGACAATAAGAAAAACTACCTGCCAAAAAAAAAAAAAAAGTGAAGTTTTGTTGAAATCGGTTGAAAAATGTAGGAAATCGGATCCCATATATAAACGAATACACACACACAAACAACCTGGGTTTTATAATAAGTAAAACTCGATATGAGTTGTCCCCCTTTCATTCTCGCGATGCCTCTAAATCGTGTTTTCAAATTGATTGTTTTTCCAATTTTTGGCACTGTCAGAACCACCGCAAGGTAATTTTACGTAGTCCTATGAAGTTTTGTTGAAATCGGTTGAAAAATGTAGGAAATCCGATCCAATATATAAACATACAGACACACACACACACAACCTGGGTTTTATAATAAGTATGATTTTTCTTAATTCTTAAACCCAATATCTCAGCACTTTCATAAAACAGCTTTAAACTAAAAATGTCAATATTCACTAAACTTTAACGACTTTTGATTTAAAATTAACAATTTTAATTAAAAATCTAAATCTGGTACAAAATTTTCTAGTGAGTTTTTTTTTTTTTGTCCAATATTGGATAAATCTTAGAAATGTCCTGAAATTTACTCAACTCTTTATCACTTGTAAATGTCAGCCCCTTAACAAAAAAATGAGTTTTAGATGACAATATGGCTGAACCTAAAATGCAAATTTTATACTGTTTATTCTAGATTTTCTCAGAATGGTGATGAGTGCAGCAGAAAATAGACAATGGATCACTGAAAGTTAAAGCAATAATACAGTAGGTGCAAGCACGTTTTTGGATTAAAGGAGAGATTTTGAGTTCAAGAAAAAAGAATATTCTTGAGGAATTTGAATATGAGAAGGAGAGTGTACAAAAGTAACATGTAAACTAACGGTGAGCAACTGGCTTTTTTTAATGGCATATGTGAATAGGAAAAAAACCTAAATAAGGAAGCTGACTAGTGATTTGATAGCAAGACAATAATTTATCTTATGATAAATGTGACACAACAAACCTGGTTGGGATGGGAAGTTTTCAAGATCTGTTAGCTTCAGATGATCAGGTTTTACACCATGCAACACTCATTAACAATTCCTTGAAGAAATAAAGGAATTAAAACTGAAATTGTTCTTTTATGAATACATAATTTACTGTAATATGGCACCAGGTCACAAAAGCAGGGGAAATACTTTGATGACTGAATAATAATGCTATGAATTTATATGAATAAAAGTGTCAAGATTATGAAAGGTTCCATCAAATTTAATATATATTCTTGCTATACAGCGTGTCTTTGTAGGCTTCTCAGCTAAATGCAGACAGTTGCTTCATTGTTTTTAGACTTTTTTTTCTCTCTCCTCACCATTTAATTAAGAAAATAGTGAGAAGTTGTTTTCTTTTTTTTTTTTCAAAACTGACACCCAGACTGCGAATTAAATTTGCTGCAAATAGATCAGCTCTCCAAATAATAAATTATCACCTCAGCAATTGTGAAGAATTCAAGTTATTTATTTTATTTCTTATTTTTTGGGTTGTGGATGAGTGTGTGAGGGGATGTGAATAAAGGCTTCTGAAAATATTCAAAAAGAATTAACAACTCTTATTCAAGTGTCAAGTACAATACAAAAACAATAGCTGTATAAATTGCTGGGTGTTGTAGAATTTATTATTTCATTAAGAGTCATAAATAGTGAATCATACTGGAGTAGGGAAATCCTCTTCAAACAGCATGGGGGAGTACATGTAGAGAGAATGAGATGTGAGGGTGCTGAAAATTTTTTTTGATGTTTTATCATCTGGTCAGATTTTAGAAAGTGGTAGAACTTTTCAACACCCTTTTGTTATGTCTGTTCATCTTTTTTCTTTTTTTTTCATTTCTCTCCCTGTCTGTCTCTCGTTTTTCATGTCTCTCTCTCTCTCATTTTTCGTCTCTCTCTCTCTCGTTTTTCGTGTCTCTCCCTGTCTCATTTTCCGTGTCTCTCCCTGTCTCTCTCTCTCGTTTTCCGTCTCTCTTTTTTTTCTTTTTTTTCTTCTGTTAACCAAGAACTGGGAGTTGGTGACAGAAGCAAAAATGCTAGAAAGAAAACTAATTATTCCTATAAATTGGCAGAATTCAATAATGAATAACTCTAAGGCAGACTTTTTTTTTGTGTCCACCTCTTGTCTCTCGAATACTAAATTTCTCTTGAAACAGGATCTAGAAAGCAAAAGGTAGGCATAAATAATTACAATAAAGTTAGGTAGCAGACAGAAATCAAACAAAAATGAAAAGAAAATTATATATGCTTTATTTGAGCAGCAATTTCTCATTCATCCTAATTTGCTTGAAGGACTATTTTATTAGTTTCTGGGTGAAGTTTGAACAAAAACTGTTCAATACCTTTTGAATGCTTTCAACTTTTATAAGCCTCTATCAAATAATTTTTTGTAGCTTATTAAATTTATATTTATAGATTTGCATTTATATTTCTTTGGTTTAAGTGTTGATTCTTCTTGCATCAGTGGGTGTCATAGTGATGCCTTTCAAGTATCAACTCTTTAAATATTAGTTTTTGATGTCATATCAATTATTGTGTGTGTGTATTAAGTCAAAAGGAAATTAGCACATTTATTGATCTTCAACCAAATTTATTATAGATTTATTTTTTATATGAATGGACACTGAAATGACAAAACAGAATTTATTTTGAAATGCATTCTTAGCTAAACCAAAAGCTTTTCAGAACATCCTCATAGTTGTCAATTTCTATCCTACCCACAACATAATTATTTTATAAAAAGCAGTAGGGATTATTTATTGAAATTGTAACTAAATAAAGGATACTTTACAAGTACATCAACTCCTTTTACCCCCACCATAAATATATATCTCTATCTATAAAAGACAGGATGTGTGTGTGTGTGTGTAACAAATGCACGGCTGCAATTTTCAACGGATTTGCACCAAAATTTACATACACATGCTCCAAGTTAACGGGAAGGCCAAGACTGACTTTGCATTTCCCAACTCCCATCAATAGTGGAAATAATCGATTTTTTTCATGCTTCTACAGCAGTTTTCATGTAGTTTGCGGCCATTTTCTACTGACCAGAGTGAGAGCCTATAGCTGGCTGCCACGAATAGGTAGGAAGGTTCTATTGTCCAGCGTGAGAGCCAACAGCTGACTGACACAAATGTTAACTAGTATGCTAGCATGCAAAAAAAAAAATTGATAGCTGCATTTGTTGGGAAAAAATTTAAATCTGCATGGCATTTTTACTCCAGTTGGCTCATTTTTTTAAACTCAACGTTGATTCTGATTCCAGAACTGGGTTGGGTGGGAAAAGTATTTGTTGTTAACATTCTTTTTTCATTCTGTTTTTCCAATTCACGAGTCCTTTTTAAAGCTGATCGTTTTGTGTTTATTTTGTTTAGTTCTTTTTTCATAACAGATTTAATATTTAGTATAGAGCATAGAAAAAATTTGCAGTGTGAGATAGGCAAGAAGTAAGGCATGTAGCAACATCAGCCCGGCAAAGGGCACTTCTTTAAAGG